TCCCCCCCCCCCCCCCCCCCTCCCACACACACACACAAGTGTATTTAAACACAACCACAAAAGCAATACAGTTGTAAACATGGCCCAATAACTTTCACACTTCAGTAATCTTGGAGGTGACGTTTAATCCATTTCGTTAATGAAATGATAGTAGATTCTTTCTAACAGTTGCTTTGTAGGTCCCTTTTTTTCGCACAATGTAGAGAAACTGCATATCCTGCTTAGTAAATCTTTATGAAATACAAGCTTCAAGCTTCCAGAAAAGTCAAAACGGAAGAAGGATAAATACTTACATTTTTGATGACGAGGTGCCAGTGAGGCGTAAGAGGCACGTGCTGGAGGCTGATTCTTTCGTCGTCCACGAAAGTTCTCCGGCTGATGGTCAACGGGTTAGGGTCCGACTTGCGCCTCCAGATGACCTGTGGGCGACAAGGAAAAAGTAGTGAGCTGGCTGTTTAGTTGGTTGCTGTCATGCTGGAATATGGAGCAGGTTGCCCAGGTTTAAATATAAGTGGCGGAGTCATCCTCAAAGATCGATTGTTTTTTTTTTTGGTTGGTTTTAGTAGAGGTTTTACGGCGCTTGCAACTGCATTAGGTCGTAAGAGCAGTAAGTGGTGGATGTTAACAGAGAAGTCCTTACAGGGAATCAGGCTTACTCTGCTCACCTCTCTAGCTTCAGCAGCACGAAGTCTTCTTCGATTATCAAGGCACCCCGGAAATAGAGGGCCACAAAGAGTGTGACAAACAAAAAAAAGAAGTAGAGGGAAAATGACAAAAGTAAAGGATTAGAAAAGAAAAAAGTAGCAGTTCCATGTTGCAGTTCAGGCACAGTAATGAACATGACATTGATGAATCAACCTATTTACAACTACAATTCTACTGTGCATAAGAACTTGGTTAATGTCCCCCCTTTGAGAATGGACTAAATACACTTCAGTAGATCCACCCCCTCCCCCTCCCCCCCCCCGGGATGGATTGTGCAACTACTTACTTGGTTTAGCCTAATCGGAGATGACCGCTCAGACAGCGATATGAATGAATTTTGGAAAATCATGATCAAGATGTTTTTGATGATGAAACATACACGTCTAATATTTGTGTTTTCTAACTGTTATTGAACAGGCTTTTCCTTCCCACCAAGCTTTTCGGAATTTATCCAAAGGGGCGTTAAGTACTCAACTGGATAAGGTGGAAGACGCGAAAAGGGGGGCTGTAGGAAATACGAAAATGTAGATAGGAAGGGAGCACTTTATTTGCTCTGTAGATGTCATTCCGGGAGAAGGTAAGGACGACCTTGTATGCATTTCTGTTGGCATGTTCTTGAACGTGTGCCATTTAGGAGAGTTTTAATAGCACGCCACCCAATCTGGTGAATAGTATCGGTCATCGTGGTAAATTCAGAGGCCCTATCTCCGTCTAAGTTGATCTTCGTGTATTGAAAGTGGCTTTAAACGCATTTGATACCAGACCATAGAACAGAAGGAATAGGTTACCAGAACCAGATGGATGTTAACAATATAAACGCAGCAACTCTCTTCTGCATTTTGAAAGAAAGGAAGGAGGAACTATGGTTGAGTCAGATTACAAGGGATTCTACTCCTTTCTCGCTTTTAAACAAAGGTGTTTCACACCACATCCAAATAATTTAGGAGGTCGACTTCGACCTTGCCATTCATAGGCTACCTGGACTGAAAGGGATACAGCATCGCAGCAGAAAAACTGAGATACTTGAAAAAGATGTTCCCCACTCGGGAATCAAACTCGGGTCTCCTGAGAGCAACGTTAAATCCCCTACCTGCTACACATCAGGCACCAGCTCTTTCTCTCTAAAATCTACTGCAACAGAGCATGTGACAAGTACTGATCTGTTGAACCCTAGCTTGATGTACCAATATTGCTAAAAATACGTCCGTATTTGTAAATGTAGTTTAGTTGTATTCCTGTGCTTAGTCTAATACTGTTATCCCCAAACAACTATTGACAGCGACGTGAATAACTTTGGAAAATCTTGATATGTGCCTTATTGAGAAAAACATAATGTTTCAAATTTGTATAATCGTCTATTATTGAACAGGCATTCTATTTAGAAATTTCATGGTCCCAAAGGTATTCTTGCATGCTCGCACTTCTTCTTTTTTGTTTCAGTTTACGGCACTTGCAACACAATTAGGTAGGACCTGTAAGTGTAGAAAATTAGAGGTGTTACTAAAGAGTAACACACACATACACACACACACACACACACACACACACACACACACACACACACACACACACAGACACATACACACACACACACAAAGAAGGAGGACAAATAATGACGATAGACGTTTGATTGTAAAGAAGGAACAAAACACACCAGAGCACTCGTCAGCCACTCAGATGCAGAAACTGGCGTTTTAAATCATTATTCAGCTTTTGAAAAAATTTGAAGCAACCCCCCCCCCCAAAAAAAAAAGAAAAAAAGTAACAAAGACAAGATCCAATCCAAACAAACAAAGCTAAAACAGAACATCTAACAAACACAAAGGCAGAAAAAAAAGAAACAATAAAGACAACAGAAGCAACAGGCGAAAACAAAACACCGAGCAAGACCTGGAAAAAATGATCGGAGATGGCACCACAGGTTAAGCTCGTCAGTTCGTTTTGTTCTCGCTGCTGATTTTTTTCTGCTGTACAAATATTTTGGTCTGCAGCATTTGCCAGAGGAAAAAAATGCAGCAAACATTAATCACCTGTATGTAAGTAACCTGAATTGTACAGCTGCTAAGCGCCATTTTTTGCCAGACCTTATTGGTTCAAGCGAGCGTTTGTTTGTTTACCTCACAAAGCCAAGAATGTTGTTCTTGGCTTACACGTGAGCTTCAAAAGCATCATACCGATCTCAGCTTGCAGTCGCATCTCCTATCATATCGACTCGCTATTTATAATCTTAGCACGTCTCCTTCATTTACAGTGCAAAGTTGTTTTCCTTGCTAACCTTCTAAGTCGTACATATTTACATGCCTTTCCACTGAACCCTTTACCCAATAATTTGTCATCAAAAATACACGTGAGATTTTTCTTACGCTTGAACTAGTTTTTTAAGAGTTGAAGGTCACGATAAATGCTAAATGTCATGTTGTCGTAAATACTATGTTTGTTTTGGAAAGACTGTTCCGTAGCGGCTGAGTGTTCCAATAATTAAATCGAACGTAGAAATAGCTCTTCAACAAACACATTTTTTCCCCTCAAGAAAACAAGAAGTGTTGGTTTTGTTAATCACTCATGATATCTGTAACGAATAAACTTGACGCTGAATTATATTTGCCTAGTTTGTGGCCTGAGTGAGCTCTCCTTGTACGTTTGAAGATCACTCAAAAATCCCAAAGCACCAAAATTACGCTGATGAGGTAGCACAAAGTGGGCTCAGACACACAGACCGAGTGACTGAATGTGACACAAACTGAGTGACTGAATGCGCCAACAGGGACGAAAACTAACAAGCCATGTTCCACATTTCTTTCAAGCACAGCTGGCAATCAATTAGGCGCTGACGCTTTTGAAGACAGCTTTTGACAAGCCATCTTAGTCCCCAGGACAGGCTGCCGTGAGGCCGAAGAAATGAACTGAGCCCATCTCAAATTTACGGTGTGGTGCCCCGGGGAGAAGGGTTAATATAGATCAAGCTTTAATCAAGTTAACCATATTGTTCACCTTTCACGAAAAACCAGCAGCTTCTGCCACCTCCCTCACCGCCACTGACACTTTTCTAGCAGCTATAGTAAGTGGTGTTGTCACAGCGGCAGTGCCAGTGTTGATGATGAGGATGATGATAATGATGATGATGACGATGCCGATGATGATGATGACGATGACGGTGATGATGATGATGATGGTGATGATGATCACTTTGGTCTTTTAATACCTTCTTTATACAATGATGGTTATGATGATGATGATGATGATTATGATGATGATGATGATGCGGACAATGATGATGACGGCGATGGTGATCTTTACAGGATCTCCCAAACGTCTGTTGGTATTTCCATTGACCAAAGTCAGATTGGCGAAAGGGAATTCCAGTCATATTTAAGAAATATATACATACATAAGGCACCCTGCCCCACTTTTTTTCACCCCCCTCTCCCCCGACACACGCATACACAATAAAAGCGAAAACCACACACAAAAAAAGAAAAGTGCCCAGAACGAGTCATACCATTGCTCTTCAATTTGAGATACACATCAATTTGGGACCGTCTAAGAGTTATGGTCTGGGTCTCCAGAGAGCGGGCAAAGACGGGATCTGGAATGGTATTGGATGAGGGGCAAGGGGGAGGGCATCTGGGGACGGGATGCTATCAGCAATGGGCACGAGGGACGCGAGTGGCAGTAAAGTAGAAATATTTTGGGGGTCACGCTACTGCTTGTCGCAGCGAGACAAAACATGTATTTAGTTTAAGCAAGCGTTTTAAGGCACCAGCAACGCAATAAGGTCTCACAAGTGGAGAAGATTAGTGATGTTAAAATCGAGTAACAAACACAAAAAAGAGGAGAGATCAGAGTGTTTGATAAAAAAAGGAACAACCCACACATGAGCACACACCCACCACCCGCAGACCTGTATTTGTTTCACAACTTTTCAGCGAACTACAAATACAGTCAAACCTGCTATAACGACCTCCTGTATAAGACCACCACCTGTATAAACGGTCACTTTCCATTTCCTACCTTGAGTTGTTTTTTTTTTCTAGTATAATGACACAAGGTAAGACGACCTGCTGTCTAGGACGGCCATTTTTCTCTTCGAAAGTGGGCGGCTATCTTAGATAATTGCGACTGTAAGCTGGAATTTTTTTGGGTATAATGTATGTACTTGTGAAAATCGAGCAATTTTGTGTAATTTAGTCAAACATAATTCGGCTGTTTGCATATCAATAAGTGCATAAGCTATGTAATGATTTTATAACTGTATCTTAAATAATTCTTACTTCGACAAACATGGACCTTCACTGGTCACATCGATTAAGTGAAGGATAAAAGATGGACAAAAAGATGCCCTGAATAGAAATCAAGAACAGGAAAACGGTTAAGAGGAAGACCAGAAAGGGGGTGGCAAGACGGCATCAAAGAGCGGACGGGTACTACCTGAATACCGAGAACAGCCGATAGGACAAAGTGAAAGTCCTGCTATTTATGTAAATCTCAGAAAAGATATTTATGTAAATTTCAGAAAAGATTAAAAACAGGATGGAAGACGACTTCGTATCATGTTCACATTATTGCTGTTCGCTTGGTCGCTTGCTTATTTCGGCTTTTATTTTATGGTGTTTTGTACAGATGAACCTAGGTCTTTGCAGATTTTATATGATACTATGCCACTTTATTTGACTCAAAGCTCGCAACAGCAGTTGGATTTTCATCTAAATCGACC